AAACGTGCCAAGCAGCAAGGAATTAAGTTAAGCAGAGGAATGGACAAAGGTTTGGAGGCAAGAGAGAGATTTTTCCAAGGGTAAAAGTCGAAGGACAATGACTCGGGGCTATGCACCGGCAGGATGCACCCCTGGAAAATAAAGCTGTGGTACACGCGGCAACGTCGGCCGCGATCAAGAGCGTCGGGTATACGCTCCCTGGTCACAGTGGGGAGCCGGAGAATGGCATTATGGGTAGAGACCTTCCCTCCCTTCTCTCCAGACCTCCAGCGCGCATTGTCTGGCAGCCATATTGGAATAACAGCCAACCCCGTCGTGATTGGTCCGTTTTTTAACCGGAGAGAAACCCGTCGCCTGGCACAATACTTGTTCCCTGGCCATGGTTAGGCAATGCCTTGCTACGCGATAGACTATCAGTCGACTCCATGCTGTGCCCGCATCGAAATCATCTGCCAGTGTGCCGGGCTGTTGTGTGATTCTCATCGGTATCGCGCGATGATCGCGTCACCATGAAAGAGAACCCCTCTCGAGAAGCCTCTGGTTCTCCGGTTCCTCTCCGCTTCCTCGTCGTCCGACCTTGCCAGAAACTGGTACCAAACTTCAGCTCGGTTCCTCCGCGAGGTTTCGAAGCAGGCTGCTACGTTTTCTACGGGAAGAGTAAAGTGGCCGCGAAACCGGGGGATGTGAAGTGCCCCGATCTTCTCACAGCCTTGCGTCTGAACGGCGACTGGATCCGTTGCTACTTCCGTTGGGATTCCGCTAGTTGTTGACGTACGTTGCGCTACAGTGACGTGAACAAGTGAACGCATACGGATTTTTTTTCGTTTCGAACTTCTGTATATGTGAACTTTCGTTGCGAAAACCGTGCGACTCTGGTGCGACGTGTAGTTGGATTAGCCGTGTTGCGGATTACGTTCCTCGAGGTACGTCGATGACACAGAACAGCAACTTTATTTATTGCAAATTACAGTAAATTAACAGAGTTGTTTGCAAAATATACAAAAGCGTAAAGGAAAAGAGAAACTCCCGACTCTCCGGTAATTTGCCGCGCAGTCAGATCCGTGGTTGCGACGGCAGACAAATGGTTCAACGCTAGAACCGACGACTCACGAGCATAAAACTTTCGTTAGAGAACTTTCGTGTGGAAGATCTTTGTAATACTCGTAAATAGGGCACGCGAGCTTTTATTTATCATTCGAGTCTTCAAAAACACATTTGTTTCGTATCTAACAAATATATTTAAATGGTACTTTTGACCATTTTGGTAGCTCTCCGGTGCTAAAGCATGTCAAATTGCAACGGGATTGCAGAAGTTTTCGGCACGTCATTTTCATACCTACACGAAACATTGCTTAGCCTGATCTGAAGGTAACCGATATCTTTTCCTTCCGAGGATTACTGGTTAACGTTCACGCAATCAGGAATGGCCTAACTCCTAACTCCTCTGTTTAACCACTTAACCACTTGGCAACTGCATTGCGGACCATAACGAGCGACCAAAATTATTGACAGCTGATAGATTTATCACTCGTTCTGCCTATGGGTTATACTTGAATGTACTTAAAACCGAGAGAATAATTGCGATTTTGGGACTTGCGTGGCATGTCATTCCAGCGCGGGAGGTTTCAAAGTTTCGTGTTCTGGTAAACGAGCATCGGTGACATCGGTCAACGACGACAATTAATGATGCAGCGATCAACGAACAGTGATTACAAGCTGAGGGGCTTTACGATTTAATACGTACGGGCGAAACGAGAAAATGAGACGTCAGAGAGACGTCGGGCTATTTTGAAAAGCGTGCCGGTATCGGTCATTGGCACCCCTTTTGTCAAGGGCTGCAAATAAGATTTGTCCTGGGATATATTTGTCACCATGAAATGGGTAGGGAAGGGGTGGTAAGGTAGCAATCGTGCCGGCGCATTCGTCCCGTAGGATTCTTTCGTCCTCCCCGCATTGAAACGTCGACGTGGCGCGCGAGACTCGAGGAACCGTGGTGGACGTGGCATTAGAGACACGGACCTTTCTCGGGTTCAACCCCTCCCCCTCCCCTCCCCTCCCCTCCCCTCCCCCCACAGAAAACCTTACTACCCCCGTGAAGGTCTGGAAATTTTGTCGAGTAACGGTGGAATTATTATCGGGGAAAAAGGGCCGCGGCGGAAAAAGAAAATGGTCGTTAGGCGCGCGCGAAATGTGAGAAATGATCTGTCGACGGTTCCCGGTGGCGTGCTGGCCGTGGAAAAAGCCGGCCGCGTGTTCAAAGAAACCGTGGAATCGAACGAGTCGGGGAAAATCTGCGCCATTAGAAGACCGGCAGACCGTGATCCAGCGGATTCAGCATCTTGCGTTCCGTTCCCGACAGAGGCAGAGAGACTCGTTCCCCTCGAGACGTTTCTCGTCCTTTGGCCACTTCCCTCTTCTGCCACTTCTGCTTCCCACAAAAGCATCCCTAGCCGTAGGAAACACTTTTATTTTTTACGTAGTTTCATACATTTCAAGGTAAAAAGCGTGCACCTTTTTGAAAAACTGGCTTTTCGTTACAATTGCACTGCGTTCGAGATTTGGTTCTCGCGGGGATTGTCGTGCGTGATTTTTCTTTCCTCTTTTTTTTTTTTTTCAAATTTGAAAAAGAAATGGCGGTGCACAGTCTGTTGAAGAGGGGGGAGGCGAGTGAGCTCGGCATCCTGAAAATTATATAGGTGGCCATTATCGCGCGGTCTGGCACGCATTTGGGCCAGACAATGGCCGCCGCTACTCGTTAATGTAATAACCATCCTAAAGCCGGTGGATCTCCCTTCCCTCCCCGCAGATCCATCGTACTCACGACCGGCAGAAGAACGAAAAGCCTCTTCTTCTTCTTTCGCCGACCTGCCTGTCGTTCGGTCCCGACCTGTCCGCATTCGAACAGCCTTCGAAGAATTATTATTTTATGAGATTATTATCTTTAATAACATCACCTCGCTAGAGGAAAGAAAAGAAATAGAGAAAAAGAAGAAAAATAAGAGATGGGAAAGACGACTCTCACTCGTCGAAATTTTTCGCTCCTTCTCGTTTCCATCGCCTCGATAACCGGATTAATTAGTGGAAAAAATTATCATATATATATGTATATATATATACAGTCCAAAATTTAATCTTTTTATCTACTTTAAAAAATACAGTTTAACACTGGAATTACAGCGTGGCCAAAATAACCAATTTATAATTTTTATTACAATACACATTTGTGGACGTAAAACAGTATATTTTTAATATAGTATTTTTAAAATAAGCTTGTACACTCCTCGATAGTTCTAATATTACAAAAAAAAAAAAAAAACAACGAAGACACTTTTCGAGCACATCTGTAAACGTAAAACAGTGTATTTTTTATATAGTATTTTTCAAATAAGCTTGTACACTCCTCGATAGTTCTGATATTACAAAAAAAAAAGAAAACAACAACGAAGATACTTTCGAGCGTACGTTAATCGTTCAACTGTTAAATCATTCAACCCTCCCAGAAGTGTCTCGGAGGTGGCCAAAAGATTTCCAACATTTTCTTCCTCTTTCCGTTCCTTTCCAAACGATTAGGTGATTGTAAAAGTTCGGGCGACGCGTTGCGCGTTTCGCGCGGAGCGACGGCGAGGCTTGCAAAAGGTTTTCAAAGGCCGGTGGCGTTCGGAGCGTGCGTAAGGGATGAAGTAGGGTGGAAACGTGGACGCGCGATTGGCCGTGGGGCGGGAACATTCGTGGGGTTGTTCGTGCCAGCAGGTGGATCTTCAACAACACCCCTTTGTCCCTCAATTAGTTGCGTTTCTTTCCCTTTCCTGTCCCTCCTTCCGAAATTTTACCTGTCCGTCGGGCTACAGTCAGTTCTCGAGTGCCCAGCGCCCGCGCGCCCGCGTCTCCGAATTTTAGTCGAGTCACACCGAATCCGGTTTTCCATTCGAATCCTCCTGCGTGGAGCGTGCGAGTTTTTACTCGCAGCGTTTCTTCCCCTCGACGCGCTCGCGAGCGAATTTAACCCGCCGTGGAAATATCTCGCTTTACGTTTCGCGATCCGCGATGTGAAAATCGCGGTTGATACGTTGTGAACTCGCGCGTGTGTGAACTTTTGCATGAAGAATGTTCGTGAGGATACTGTACATAAAGGAGAGGCCGCTCTTCGCGATGCGACAGCGTAAACAGATCCCACCGGTTTGTTAATCGTCCGATCGTGTTTTTGGACGATAAAGTGACGCGTTCCTGACGTAGGATCATGGCTCGGAGTCGTGGAATCCGCAGAGTAATATACTTGAAAATTAAAGCTACATGTTTGAACGTATTAAACTTTCACAATTGATCAGGCAATGTCAAGCTTCGTTCTCAAATAATTGTACGAAGAATGTTCGTGAGGATACTGTATGCAAGGAAAGACCACTTTCTCGGGATGTGAATAGTACAACAAATTCAACTTTTGGAAGAAATTAATCGTGGCTCGAAATAATATTAGATTTTCTCCTTCGATGTTTAAAAATTTGGATCGCACGCCATCGCGCTCCATCCAGTGAAAAGATATTAAGACACAATTAGTGTCTTTTAAGTTCCTAAAAATTTTCCACATTCTTTGCACGTTGCTCGCCGCCTGACGAACGTAAACGACGACAAAGGATGAATTACAGCTGTCAATAAACAGCGTGCGGAATGTAATAGCGGAAAATTAAAGAAAAAAAAAAAAAAAAAAAAACACAATCTATCCCGCAACACGGTATGCAATCTTGGCTGCAATTAAATCCTCTTAAATGATCCTCGAGAGTTGTACTTGGGCACGCGATCCTGTTTACGCTTACTTATGTCTCGTCAACCGATGATTTGATCGCGTGCGTTGTTTTCCCTGTGCGTCAGGCACAGAGTGCCCCGATCGAAATCCACGATTATTTCATTCGCACGTCAAACGACTTTTGCTTTTTTGTTTTCTTGTTTTTTTTTTCGTCTTGGAGCGACTGAAACTCGAGCGAAACGTTTGTGCCTCCTGTTTGCAGGTGAATACATCCTCAATTCCGGCAGTCGGCGTGAGAACGGGAACAACGGGGTCGAAGAGGACGATCATCTGCTTAGGGACGCGTCGCTCGGCTTAGACAATCACCCGTTGGCTGGATTAACCGATGATTCTTTGGGACTGACCGACACCTTAGAGCTCGAGAATGATTTCCCAACGGATTTACTCGGGGGTGGTCTCTTAGGGAGCGCGAACGTCGAAGGCCTTCTCAACAACGACTCCTTGGACCTTCCCGACGGATTCAATCTCGAGGAGGCGCTACAGCTCGTTGGCCTCGATGAGGCGCAATCAGAGGTTTATTCCATCATTAGTTTGCAAATGCTTCGCCAAATGTTTATTCTCGCCGTTGTTGTTTCGTTGAAAACAAAGCAAGAGAAATTAAATAAAATTACGTGTATATAGAATAGATAGTAAAACGTAAGCTTGCAAAGACCTTACAGGCGGGCAGAGTTATTTCTTTTCGTCAAAATGCGTGTTGAAGCCATTCCACAGTTTTTGATTATCATAATTAATTGCATAATTATAGTGTAATGCAGTATAATTAAAGTATAGTTAATTAAAGTTACTGTAATGTAATATAATTAATTGTAGTATATATATATATATATATATATATATATATATATATATATATAGTATAATTAATTAAATAATTATACGATATATAGTATATATTGTAGTATATTACATATAGTACAATTAATTAAATAATTATACGTTATACGGTATATATTGTAGTATATTACATATAGTATAATTAATTAAATAATTATACGATATATAGTATATATTGTAGTATATTACATATAGTATAATTAATTAAATAATTATACGTTATACGGTATATATTGTAGTATATTACATATAGTACAATCAATTAAATAATTATACGATATACAGTATATATTGTAGTATATTACATATAGTACAATCAATTAAATAATTATACGATATATATAGTATGTTACATATAGTATAATTATTTACTTAAATACACTTAATTATTTAAGTATAATACATACAGTATAATTATCTAAATAATTATACTATATATAGTATATTATGATATATATAATTAATTATATAATTATAGTTTTTAATTATTTAATAAGATTGGTTTACGAATAATTGTCAGTTCAATGTGGGGAAAAAATGTTGCTCAGCTCGAGTTGCCAATCAAAATGTTCATCCTGTTTGCCGAAATCATTTTACAAATCATTTTAATTATTATATTTCAATTACATAATTATAGTATAATACGGTACACGTTATAATATAATCAATTATACAATTATAACTTTCGGTTATTTAATAAAATTAGTTTGCGAGTAATTGTCAGTCCAGTGTGGGAAAAATTGTGTTGCAAATTGAAATATTCTGAAAATTATCATCTGCTATCAAAATTACCGAATATTGATAGACATCGTATAAATAGTATTTGAATCTGTAATTTCCTTGGTCGTTTTAAGATATCCTGTTTGTTTTAAGATGATTTGACGAACGACTTCAAACGATATTACACAGTTGCTTGGACGATAAAAGGCAGATGAAACAAATGAGGATAGACAGAAGTTGAAGTTCGGCATCAATCGAATTCGTACAAACGAGATATTAATCGAATTAATCCGGGAGATCTCTACCTTACCGGGAGAACGTAAACTATCCTCGAAAATTTGGCAGTTCGAGTAGCTTCAATGGCATTGGCATTGTATAATAATAATAATAATAATCGTGTGTACGTATCATATAGGAAACGAAGCCGGAAGTGAAGAAGGAAAAAGATAGCATCGAAAAGTCAACGTGCGCAAAGGACGAGTCGAGCATTACCAGCTCGAGCAGCGTCGAGGTCGCGAAGTCATTCAGGTGCGAGGATCCTAAGAGCAGCGACATGATTCACACACCGCAGTTTCATCATCCCCATCATCCACACCATCGTTCCTTCCAGGTACGTTCGACCTTGATTTTACTCTCTTCGACTTCGTCGTTGTCGCTTCTCGGTTTATACAAACACATTTTTCGATCGCTGATCGTTCGAAGAAATCGAGAAAACCAGTTGTCAGTCACTGATTTTGATGAAATTTAATGTAAATGTAGTTTTCAGAAGAAATATTTCTCTTTTATCGGCAATCATCATTGTGAAAAGTTCGGGGAAATTTTGTCAAATGAAATCTCGGAAATTATTGATGATATCGTTCCTAAATAAATTGTCTATCGTTCCTAAGTAAATGTGTAAATTGACGATATCAGTTTTCTAACGTATATACATCGTTTTATTGAAAAACCATCTGTTTAACCTGTTGTGCTGGAATGACGCACGTCGAGAATTTTTTGTCCTAAATTGCAATATTCCCTCAGTTTTAAGTTTATATTGAAATATAACCCAGGCAAAACAGATAATAAATTTATTATACCTCAATAATTTCTATCCAGTGATATCATACCGACGAGTTTTAAAAAGCAAGCGACGAATTATTGTATACGGTTCGGTCACTCGTTATGGTCCGCAATCAGTTGCCAGGCGCAAGGAGTTAACCTCTTGCGCTGCAATGACGTGCCACGCACGTCGAGAATTTTTTGTCCCAAAATTGCTATATTTCCACAGTTTTAAGTATATTCAAGTATAACCCAGGCAAAACAGATAATAAATTTATTACTCCTCGATAATTTCTATCCAGTGATATCACGCCGACGAGTTCAAATGAGAAAGAAAGCGACGAATTATTGTATACGGTTCGGTCACTCGTTACGGTCCGCAATCAGTTTGCCAGCGCAAGAGGTTAAACAATATGGAAAAAACCGTATTTTTTGTAAGTTTTTCCAGGTGAATATTAATATATTTTCTCGAATATATATAAATATATATGTAGTCAAGTTTAGTTCGTGGAAAGTATATGTTTAACCACAAGTTACGGATAAATAGTTGTCTTCATTTTTTGCGTTACCAAAAATTGATTCATTTCTCGCTGGACGCGAATAGGTAAACTAGATAGATTCACTTTTGCGAGTGAACATCGATCGTCGAGTAACAGCGACAAAATTCCAAGTGTTTTCATAATTTTTCCATAATGAGAGAGATTGAAATTACGAACCTAACATAACCTAGTTACGAACTTCGATACGTAAACTCAATTCGTACGCTCTTGACTTACGCGTATATATTGTTACTCTTCCCCTTCCCCTCTGATTCATCTTCGTGTATTTAAGTAATCAACATATAAATATGCACGACGTTTTTTACGAGATTGCTATTGCTACGTTATGATTGACGCGTATTGCGTATTACAACGTCGAATTAATTTCTAAAGTGAGGCACTTTTCGTTGGAAATCGTCCGTCAACATTTGCTTTGCTGTGAAATTGTTTCCGAACGAATAACAAATTAATTCTACGTCATGAATTAATTACGTTATAATTAATTAATTAATTAATTCCACGTTATGAGTTATGAATCGAACACGTTTCGTAGAGTAATTACGCGTACTGCGTTTTAAAGAATTGTCGCGCGCGTATATCGATAACTATGGAATCTGTTCTTGTTCACATACAATTCGAGATAACGAATCCGGGGCAAGCTATCACTGCTGAATAAATCCGTGAATACACGTGTAAACGATCTAACACGGCTCGACACGTGTTGACAGAAATTTTATTGCGAATTTACTCGACTGGTGAACAAGCAAGCAAGAAAATGATCTTGATATTTGCCCGAATTTCCATATAGACAACTAGCGTCGTTTCTGATTCGAGACACCATTATAGATGACTCGAGTCAGAATCCGCTTGCCCCGTACCTGAAACCAGTTCCCGATATTTGTAGCTAACTGATCGCCGTGTACGCGTGCGTAGTTTTCGAACGCAATTACTTTTCCCAGTTCCTTATCCGAGAGAAACAAAACTGTCGTCGATTTGCCAATTAACAAGTAGATCTAATTATTAAAAAAGAAGAAAAAAAAAAAAGAAAGAAAAATACTCGAAAGAAGGTTAATACGTACATTCGCAGTGAAAAGAGGATTCGCAAACTTTGTTGGGAGGGGACGAAGAAACTCGCGACGACGCGGTGCTCTCGGTGAAACGTAGCTGGCTACTACGAACAGAGAAATAATGATTGTTTCGGCAATTGAGGTTGCACTATATTTCCCAACCGTCCACCACATTTCTTCGAACCTACTGACACACATAAGATCTCTCTGCCGCGAGATAGTTATCGGTTAACGCGGCGAACAGTCGAGATCGACGAGACAAATCTGCGGCGACAGAGGGAGAGTGCTCTCTGAAAAGGCCTCTGAAACCGTCCGTCCCCGTGAACGTTTTCTCCTGGCAGGACTTTGGCGGGACAGTTTCACGTTTTACGCGAGGCGGCGAGAAAAGTCACGTTGTTAGCCAAGTTGGCAGGACGATCGTGACAATGACCTACCGAGATAGTCTCCTCTTGAGAGGAGTCTCGAGGAAAGAGAGAGAGAGAGAGAGAGACACGAACGTGACGCAATGCGTACGTGCGATGCACGTGGAGAAACACACCTGAGACACACACTGCCGCCAATCGGAGAACTCCGGGGGACCCCTACCCGCCGAGTGATCCTTGCCGAGCACGATCGCGATCGCGTTGTACTCCTCGGCAACGCGGTCGCCGCTGACACTCGCGGACGACATGCCGTAAACGCTTCAACTGGCCGTAAACCTTGTGGAAAATTAGCGTGTCGTTCTCTCCCCTCTTCCCCTCCTCCTCCTCCCCTCCCTCACCCCCCTTTTCGAGTTGAAAAACTTCCCGCCGTCCTTGCGTCTCGTTGCCAAGTCCAGTCCTTCGTCGCGAAGGATCGAATCGCGGGTTTCGACCAACGGGGTGCACCAGAGAGAAGTGTTGTCCAAGCTTGAAACAGAAATATATCGAGCGGATTGCGCGACCTGGCCGCGTCATCATTCGGTGTATAAATAAATTTCGAGGAAAGAATAATTTCGATAGAAGAGACATTCGTCGTCGGATCCTCCCGTGACAGTTTGCCAAAGTCGGAGAAGTGTGTGCGCGATGAGAGATTGTATTGCCGCCACCCTGCGAGCATTGGAGAGCAGCGCAAGGGTGAGGTAGAGATATATATATGTTTCTTCTGCGTGTGCTTGCGATGGCCAACCACAGTAATCGGCGAATCGATTGATCCGAGATTCGAGAGGAAGAGGCCCCGCGGAAAGAGATATTTCGAGTTTGTTTTCGTCGAAGGGGACCGGAAGTGCTGTTTGACCGCAATCACAGACACATGAATGACGTGCAGCAGTTTTTCGTCAAGCCTCACACGCGGAGCAACGTCGAGCAACATCAAGCCAGTTCAGAATGTTGGAATCTCGTTGTGGACGAAGGTCTTTTCCAGGTACACACACACACGCGCGCGCACACGCACACACACATATAGACACGTTAGTTAGAGAGCTACACGTTGTCGTAAATACGCGTGGTAAATAATTACGTAACGAAGCCGAAGACGTAACCGGGGGAAGCAACCGATTTGCAACGACGAATCGAACGTCCGAAGATTGAAAAGTAGTTCAGCATCAGTAGTTTGACAGACAAATTACACACATTCGACGAATATGAGCGATTACGTGCCATTTTATATATGGTATTGCATACGTCGTACTTCAATCAATAATAATTAGACCGCGGCTCGATGTATATGCATTATATCGCGAGTGGTTTACAAAGTACGAGAGAGAACGCAGAGGCGCTCGTTTTGATCTCTGGTGAGACTCGAACTCGTTCGTTGAGGTTGATCGTTTCCGCGAATGGACAGGATTACGATCGAAATTCATTTTTCGTAGATTGAAAGAAAAAAGGACACACACACATAAACACACATGCAAATACACGTAGGAGTGGATCCGGCGACCTTGCCTCTGGTGTGGAAGTGTGTAAAGCGGTGATTACGATGGCCGCGGACATGTAATATCCAAGCGGCGAGCAGGACTCTCAATACGAGTAATGAGCGAGCTGAATTAATACGTGTGTAGATGCCCCACCGGCCGGGACCTTTGCCTGAACAGAAGGATGCACACTTAGGCGCGTATCGTACAATAAGAGAGGGATTACGCAAGAAGACACCGGTGTCGCCGGCTCGCGAACCATATCATTTTTGGAACTCTTCTCTCACGCGACCGTCGTATTAACACTGACCTCACTCACCTGTAATTGCTACTTGTTACCGGTACGCCAAGATACAGAAGACGACGCATGTAAAATAAAGTACGACCTATTATACTCGGCCGCCACCGTGTTACGCGTTCTCTTACTTACGTGTCGTCGTAGTCGGGTTTTTATTCTTCGTTCGCGTTCCTCGTGCTCGTGCTCCTCTCCAAGTGCAACCTTGAACGGGGGGGGAAGTTCAGCACCACCTACAACACTGATTTCGATCTGTGACTGTGTGTCGTCTTTTCTTTCCTTCTTTTCTTTTCTTTTTTTTTTTTTTT